AAGTAGTAGTAGTAGTAGTAGTAGTAGTAGTAATAGCAGTAGTAGTAGTAGTAGTAGTAGTAATAGCAGTAATAGTAGTAGTAGTAGTAGTAATAGCAGTAATAGTAGTAGTAGTAGTAGTAGTAGTAATAGCAGTAATAGTAGTAGTAGTAGTAGTAATAGCAGTATAGTAGTAGTAGTAGTAGTAGTAATAGCAGTAAGTAGTAGTAGTAGTAGTAGTAGTAGTAGCAGTATAGTAGTAGTAGTAGTAGTAGTAGTAGTAGCAGTAGTAATAGCAGTAGTAGTAGTAGTAGTAGTAATAGTAGTAGTAGTAGTAGTAGTAGTAGTAATAGCAGTAAGTAGTAGTAGTAGTAGTAGTAGCAGTAGTAGTAGTAGTAGTAATAGCAGTAAGTAGTAGTAGTAGTAGTAGTAGTAATAGCAGTAATAGTAGTAGTAGTAGTAGTAGTAGTAATAGTAGTAAGTAGTAGTAGTAGTAGTAGTAGTAATAGCAGTAGTAGTAGTAGTAGTAGTAGTAGTAGTAATAGCAGTAGTAGTAGTAATAGTAGTAGTAGTAGTAGTAATAGCAGTAATAGTAGTAGTAGTAGTAGTAATAGCAGTAGTAGTAGTAGTAGTAGTAGTAGTAGTAGTAGTAATAGCAGTAATAGCAGTAATAGTAGTAGTAGTAGTAGTAATAGCAGTAATAGTAGTAGTAGTAGTAGTAATAGCAGTAATAGTAGTAGTAGTAGTAGTAATAGCAGTAATAGTAGTAGTAGTAGTAGTAGTAATAGCAGTAATAGTAGTAGTAGTAGTAGTAATAGCAGTAATAGTAGTAGTAGTAGTAGTAATAGCAGTAATAGTAGTAGTAGTAGTAATCAAATCCAAGTTTCAAATCGTGATTCAAAGTCCATGTATTTAAATGAGCCTTTCCATTAATACTCTGATCTTTTACACACTGTCCTGTATTGTTTGATTGTTTTGAATGTTTTTTAATTGTGTGTCTTAAAGGTGCATTGTGTAACTTTTCTCGTGGAGGGTCCATCAGATTTCTCCCTGGACATGTTGCTTTATCTGGAATGTTTCACAGTATGGCATTACATTTTTTAGCATCATGGAGACCAAAGCACACCAAGTTACAGGTCAGATCTGTGTTTTTAGTTATAAAAGCACCTGTATTTGAATAGGTAGAGCTGTTTAATGCCATACTGTGGAACATTCCAGGCAGAGCAGTGACATATCCATGGTTCAGCCTTACAAGATGTTACACAAACAAAATGCACCATATGTGGATTGTTTTTTAAAAACTTTGTCACAAAACACAGGATTTGAGAGAGCAGCAGGAGCTGGGTCCACGTTTCAGGACACGTTTGTTCCATTTGAGCCAAATTCCTCTAAAAACATCTGGTGTTTATCGACCCTCCCAACGGCTCTCTGCACTGCAAAAACTCTACATCTGCACGAACACATTCAAGTTGAAATAACTTGTATTCAGAATATTTGTATCTATCATTTCAAGAAAAGATTTGCCAGTGGAGTAGGGAGCATTTTCTCAAAGTAAATATAAAGACCCAACTTCATGGACAGAATAAAAATTTTAACTAAAAATATTGAAATAATTTAGAAACAAGTCAAAACAAATATTATGGATTCCAGTCATTTAAAGATGCACTATGAAACTTTTCGGTTGGAGGTCCACCCCCTGCTTGTCTCAATGAACACTACTGATTTGCCTGGAATGTTCCACAGTGTGACATTTAACTTTTCTATCTCCATGGGGACAAGCAGGTGAGGCCATCAGACCAAATTACAGGTCAGATCTGTGGAGGAGAGACAACCTCACTTTCAGTTAGAGCTGCTTTTAGCAGTGAACACTGTCTAGATACAGAGTGATACTTTTGGCAGCACTTTTCCACCTTCAAGGCACTTGAAGAGCTTTTCAACAAGGAACCACTCACACATTCATTCTTACACCAGTGTATGCAAGGTGGGTTCAGTGTCTTGCCCATGGACACAACAACAGCAATCACCTTTGACATGTGTGTCAGTGGATTTGACCGCTCAACCAATGATGTTTATGGCAAGAGCAGGATTTGAACCACCAACCTTTGGATCAGTGGCAAACTGGTCACAATCGCTCTACCAGCTGAGCTACTGTCGCCTTGCAGCTCAGTTCATCAACATTCTCTGGGGGTGTGAAGCTAACAGAGGCCCTGCTCTGTCTGAAGCTCTGTTACTCAAGCTAGACTTAAATCTGAGTTTTGTTTTAACTCGGGATGTAACAATAACTGAAATATTGTAATATCGTATCGTCAAAGTTCTCACGATAATATCATGGACCATCACAATATAATCAAATTAAAAGTCTCTTTGCTTAAATGAAGAGTTGTGGTGCAGCAGTAGCTTAAAAAAGACAGAGGGAACTACATAGACCATGATCCTTTGCTCCATTTCAGTGTCGACTACATGAAGAAATAACAGTTCTAAGCACTTTTAAGTCTTATTTCTTTGGATTAAGTCTTGTCGAGGCATTTTAGGAGGAAAAAAGTAAACAGTTTTGTTAGCCTCCACAATATATCGCAATAAATATCGTACCGTGAGATGTATATCTTGAAAATATCGTACAGAGAGATTTGGATATTGTTACATCCCTAATCGAGAGCCTCCCCACCATATTGTGATCTTTCCCACAATATCGTAATAAATATCGTACCTTGAGATTCATACCGTGACAATATCGTATCATGAGACTTGGATATCGTTACACCCCTAGTTTCAACACAATCGACCGAAATAACTGACGGCTTTAATTACACCAGATCAGCTGATTTGTGCTGTTAAACAAGTCCCTCTCAAATACAATTAGTCACAAGCTGTCTACTATTAGCCAACAGTTTTTCAGTTAGTCACTCTCTTTTTTTTGTTGAAACTGAATCTCCTAAACAGGACCGTGAACACTTGTATTGATCTCAGTCTCCTGAAAATGTGCAGTTTGAATCCATTTTTTCTTTTTTCTTGAGCTTTCAGACAATCTTGAAACTTTTCTGGCTGTGTTTGCTTATGTGTGCGTTGCGTCACCACGGTAACTCCTAAATATTCCACCTTTAGAGACACACGCAGACCACCCCCGGCATGATGTCACTGCAAAGTAACAATCTCCTCCACCGGAAAAGTTCCACGGTGCAGCTTTAACGGTAAATATTTGGGTTTTGCAGTGCTCTCCTCCCTTCTGTGCTTGTGGTGATGGGCCTTGTTTAGCATGACGTGAGTTCAGGGTGGAGTACCACACAGAGAAGCCTGTTATTTTGAACCAGGGCGGGACACGGGGCCAAAATAGAGCCTAAACCACAACCTCGCAGTCCCTCTTTCACTCTCACGATGCTCCAGACGACACCAGCGAAAACCAACACAAAAACTGACCAAGAAAACAGGAAGCATTTAGACAAGAACAACTCGGGTCAGACAGGCGCTGCTGCGAAGGCTAAAATTAGAATTAAACTCAACTTTCAAATCACGCAAGAAAATCCACGATGAGAAACCACTGTCTAGTCAGGGCAAACTTTGGGGAAAAGGTTTTACAAATATTTAAAAAGTCAGATTAAATGGGGAGAGTGTGTAATATATTACAGCTTTAAAAGTGACCTCCTTGCAGTGACTGAGTGTAGAGGAAAGCACATGGGGCTATAGCTCACATCTGTGCATTTGAAGATTCCTGATTGGTTCCAGTGAAAGGTAAAACAGAAGTGTGGAGAAGAACTTTCAGGTGTTAAAATGCAACTAACCACAGTAAATACTGGATTTAAGGGGCCGTCCACACCAACTGTTTTGGTCAAAACAGAGACGTTTTTATTCGTTTTGGCTTTTCGTCCACACGGAGCCGGCGTTTCAGGTGGGCGAAAATGGAGTTTTTTGAGAACGGGTTCCAGAGTGGGGAAATCTGAGAAGGCTGGCGTTGCGTTTTCGTGTGGACAAGCAAACTGCAGCTTTTGGAAAACGATGACGTCACGATCCCGTCATCGCCAGGGTCCTCCGATGCAGCGAAGGCTGTAGCCCTCAAACTATCCTCTGCAGACAGCAAGACCATTGCCGAAATGTGACAGGTGAAGCCTGCGGAGTCGCTCCCATCACCCAGCAACCGAGACAAGCGCTAATGCTAACAACACGCACCACAGATTATGCACACAGATTAATAACAAAGACTATGTTTATACTGAAATGAATCCGCGTATCACCGTATCAGAAACTCTGCATCCAAACACGTCGTTTCTGTGTCCGCAAGTCTTCTCTGTCCACACAGCGTTGTGCATATTTGTTTACGTTTTACAGAAACGAAACTTAAAACCACATGGTTAATTTGTATAAACTTAAAAAAAAAAAAAAAAAAAAAAACTGCTCACTATTGTGCACTGCTGTGGTTCAGCTTGTCGGACTAAAGGACACGACTCAGTGGAATATATGAGTTCTTTCTGTGACTTATGTTTAACTTTTGCTAAACAAAACGGCTATATTTCTGGGATACATCTAAATTCGGCTAAATTACCTTAAAGTTTAATGGTGATGAGATCTGCATTATTAAATATTATTATCATTGTTAACAGCGCCACATACAGGTGTGGCAGATGTATTACATCATTTTCACTCAGTGCTCCGTTGTCATGTGGACGTGAATATTTGCTGATCCGGCATATGTGTGGATGCAAATTTTTTTCAACCCGCAAAGTAAAAAATCCAGGAGTGTTGTTGTGTGGACGTAGCCTAAGAGGATTTAAGGACAATAAAATGAAGGGAGCTAGTTGGATTGGTCAATAGGAAAGATATAATGATTAGGAAAAGGATGTTTAGTTGGTGTTCAGGAGATTTGGGCAGAGATCACTTCTGCACACACCACATGAATAAAACCAGGACTAAACCAGAAGTACACAGGACCAAACCAAGTCTACATCAGGACTAGTCCAGTATCAAAACAGGACTAAGCTTGGACAAAAGTGTACACAAATTTAGATGTTTTGTGGATGACAAAAACTCACCACAAAAACTAGTTTCCCCACATTGGTCCAGGGGAAGTCGTACAGAAGCTGTCTCACTGAGCCCACGTTCTGAAAAAGAAAAGTTGATCAAAATTAGCAACTCATTGAGAATTTCTCTTTAAATTTACATTTATTTAACACTTTTATAATAGTACCTGAAATATTTGGATCCCACGTAAAGTCAGTCCTAAAGTCAAAGAGGCTTCTACTTCTTTTTTGTCCTGAAAAACACAACAGTAAGAATAAAAAAAAAAAAATAAATATATATATATATATATATATATATATATATATATATATATATATATATATATATATACTTTTGATTTTTTTTTGTTGCCCCAGTGAAGGCTGGATCAAATGCTGAAATTTTCCTCATATATTTGCACAAAATTTGCCTGAGTAACAGATGTATTTTATCAGCACTGCATGTTTCTGATGAGGGAACAATATTATAGCATGGTAGAAAGCACAAAGAAATACATTTTGTGCAATACTCCCTTCAATTTCTTGATAATCAGGAAGTGCACATTAGTATGCTATTTTTTGTTGGCTTTACCGTGAAGGCAAACCTCCATTGTGGTCTCTGAAAGTCGTAAAAAGCTCTCATAAACTCATCAGGGTGAAGAATTAGGATGCTCTGAATGCATTGCAACAGTGAGAATTAAAAAAAATATATTACTTATTATATTATTATTTAAATACAGTAATAAAAGTAATCATGATTTAACTCTGGATGATAGATGAAAATGAATGAAGAAATCTCAAAGGTTTTTCATCATAACCTTTTAAAAATGTTTAGATTGGACTGTAGGGAAAATAGTTTAAAAACCAAATTGTTAGTGGTTCAAACCCCCCTCTGATCAGTATGTATAGGCGTTGTGTCTTTAGGCAAGACACTTTAACCATTTTGCCTGCGTATGAATGCGATGTGTGAGTCATCAATGGTAAAAACTACCACAAATACGACTATAAACCCGACCTAAACCCGAGTGCAGACCTTGTAGAGTCTGTAGTAGTGCACGGTGACGTCGTCCAGCTGAGCGCACTCTTTGATGTATTTGAGATGAGCCTCGGAGGCGGTGAGAGCAAACTGGTCTTTGTGCATCAGAGGGATGTGTCGGAGGATGTACTCACGGCCACGCTTCTCTATCACCTGAACACACACACAGAGAAGAAATGTTTACATTATTATAGATCTGAAGATATCTGTCAAATAAACACAGAGACAGAGAAAGGTCATCAAAAGTGCTAACTGCAAATCGAAACGTAATCGCAATACTTAATACTATATAACAATTCAGTCCTAAAGGCATATATTATTATACCACAGAAGTTCTCTATCACTTAAACACTCATATTCACACACAGTTAAACGTTATACATTTGTACAGTTCACTGGGCTCAGACTGGCAGAGCAGGTTCATACTAAAATGTGATAAAAGTTCAGAGCTCCAGGGCAAATGCAGAAAACTACAGAAGCTTTGGCAGGTGCACAGGTGAAGGGGTTGGACCGTCGCCTCTAGGGCTGTAGGCGTTTCGACGATTAATCGATGGAGTCTCCGTCGATCTAAAATGTGTATTAGTTGACTGATGACTTTATTTAGATTACAAAGATTTCTATGGGACAGCAGCAGGAAGAAGAAGGAGAGACTTATCCAGAGAAAAGTTATGTTTGGGTATTTGTCTGGCAGATTACGCTCATGATTCACAGATGTAATGTCTTTATACATACATTATTTCTTACTTTGTGCTTTTTCCTGCTTAAATAGTTGTTTTTGCATGAACTGCAGGTGTAGTCTTGTGAGGGCAGTTTGGGTCACACACACAGAGATGCATAATAGTTTTGAGAGCTTTTGCCATGTCTCCTTTTTAGTCCACTAATCGATCAGCAGAACATGCCTACAGCCTCACAGCAAGAAGGTTAAGTTTGCATGTTCTCCCTGTGTGTGTGTAGGTTTCCTCCAGATGCTCTGGTTCCACTAAAACAGTTCAGCAGCGTCGCCTCAGGGGCCACAACTCCCCTGAAGATTTGATTCTCAGTCTCATATATTTTGGTTTCCTCGCATTTGGTAGAAATTTTCAAAGGTCGTCATCTGGTCAAGTTTTTGAAATGAAGGCAGCCATCCCAAAGTTATTTTCAGTCTGACAGTGACTTCCGGATTACAGATAAAACATCTCCTGTTCACCATTAAATGTTAACAGATCTGTCAGATCATGTGCTCACAAAGAGTTAGCCAAAAAAAAAAAAAGCCACAGTGGTTCAGGATTCTAAGTTAGGGTGACCAGATTTTCAAAATCCAAAACTGAGATGCCCCTGATTTGGGGTGGTTGGTAATAATAAAAATTGTGGAACAGTAAGTAATTAAGTAAAATCAAAGTTGTCAATACGATACATAGGCCACGATACGATACATACCTCGATACAGTGCACTTTCGATTTGATACAATATATTTCACATCAATTCTATAAATTTCAATAAAAAATAAAGGCCAAATCATGGCTGTGATATTAAAAGTTTTTGTTAAACAACTTCTTGTTCAAAGTTAATATAAAAAACAGCCATTTTAATCCTCAAAATGTCAATGTGAAAATGTCAGACATATTGCATAAACGAGTTTCCTTCCTCTGAACAAGAAACAAAACTGCAACTTTGTAACAAAATAATTTTGTAAAATATACCAAAAAATACTCTTGGTGATATATCGATACAGCAGCCCACGATATCGATACTGTATCATCACATTAAATGATATGATATATCGACATTACGATATTTTTGCACACTCCTTTTATGCACTCAGCTCATTCATGACAAACATTTGTTGTTTTTTGTGTTTTTCTTGTTTTAAAGCAGCTTTTCTGTATTTTACCTAAACAAATGATAACGTTTGCTTCTGTTTACTGTTAGCAGGTGTCAAATTGGTCAAAAATAGGGACATCGGGGACGTGTCTTGTAAAAAAACTGGGACAAATCACTGGTTTTGGATAAATCTGCTGGGACAGGGGACACAGGCTCAAAACTGGGACTGTCCTGGATAAGGGACGTTTGGTCAGCCTATTCTAATTACAAATATGGTGAGTTCTTCTAAAATGTAACGTACAATGACACCAGGTCGGTGGTGACCAATTCATCTATACATTTTGACAAATTGACCAATTAATCAAGCTCCAATTCCAAGTGCTTGACAAAGCATTACTCAGAACTTGTGGATACAGTATGAGGTGCATTTCTCAGGCCTGACATCACCTGTATTTACACAGCTGACACAGTTCAGCCTCAGGTTAGCACGAGCATTAGCATTAGCAGGTGTGGATTTGGAGCTCAGAGCTCAGAGCTGGAGGGCAAACTGAAGTCAACCTGAAAACACTGAACCAAAAGCAGCTGCTGCAAAGAGGAAACGCACAGAGCAGCTTCATGTGTGAGGATTTACACACAGAGAAAATATAAGCTGCTCAAGATGTGCAGGGTTAAGAAGAGGAGGAGAGGAAGGAAGGGAGGGAGAAAGAGAGAGAAGGAAGGAGGAGCAGGAGCAAGGGGGTGAGGGAAAGAGAGAGGGGGCTGAAAGGGGGAGAGAAAGAGAGAGAGAGAGAGAGAGGGATGGAGATATGGAGACGAGGAGAGGGAGAAAGAGAAGTGAGAGAAAAAGGGGTGATAGAGTGAAATGTGAGAGACGGGGAGAGAGATAAAAAAGATGTAGAAAGAGAGAAAGAGACATAGAAGTAGAGAAAAAAAAGGAATAGAGCTGATCTTCAAACAGTTTCCTGAGCTCCTGTTTGAGTGGAGGATAATCAGAGGAAGAGCAGAGTGAAGAGGAGCGTGTGTCATAGAGGATTATACACAGTGTCTTTACAGATATGTGACCATGTGTGGTAAACGGTTGGATTCATCGGAAGGAATATAGAAGTGTTCCAAAATAAAAAATGTAATAAATAAATCTTGGCCTCTGTGCACATTTCAAACAGCTTCAGGAGTAAAGGTGGGCATTTGGGACAAAAATGTATATCTATATCTGTTTCCTGGGACTGAAACATGCACAATAAATCAAATCATCCAGACCTAAAGACAATTTTAGTACATTTGTCCATATGGCTGTGTCATATGGCTGTTATAGGACCAGTACTACCAAAAAAAAAAAATTCACACTCTTTCATAAAAAACACACAGCAAACATGTATAAACAACTTTTTAGGCATAAAAATGCTTAATTTAGGGCATTAACTACAAAAGTGCAAAATACCAAGTCTGTAAGTAAACTAAAAATGTCCTTATTGCCTTAAAACAAAAAAAAGTGCAATCGCCTCTGTGCATTTATGTTGACGAGGATGCCTATTTTGCAATTTATTTGAGAAATAAGTGCACTTAGAGCAGCTTTGTCAATTGTTGCAAACACAGATGCACAAAGCATCGACCATTTTGACTCACTACACTCTTTGGCAAAGTTTGGGCCAATCAAAATGAATGAAGCACATGCGTTTGGCAGAAAACAAAGTTCCTATTGGATATTCGTTTTATGTCAGAAATATGCTTGGAAAGCTGGAAAGCTGCAGGCTGGCGCCACCTAGTGCCTCCACTCAATTTCATTTCTCTCCAGTGACTAGGTCAGGAATTGGAATATACTAGATGGTTCGCAAAAACCCTGGAAGCGCGAGTTGGGGCACCAACCAATCAGCGAAGAGTCATACATTCTGTGTTGGCAACGATTCCCAAGATCGAGGATTTAAAGCCGGAACAAAGAGAATGTTTGGTGAATTTTTACCAAGGAGAAAGACAACTTTGCCCTTCTTCCTGTGGGTTTTGGGAAAAGCTTAATACACCAGTTAGCCCTGTTAGCGGCGCATTACATACGCCATGACCAAATAGCAACGACTGGTTAAAGGAAAAAAGTACCTGCCTACTGTCGAGTGAATGAATCCTAACGCTGTGAGGTCAGACGGTTTCTACGAAGTGAAACCAGCTGATGAATCAGACTAGCAAATGTCAGCTTTTTGAGAAAAAAAAGTAGTTTCTATCTTTTATGGTTGGAAAGTTCTGTACGGTTATATAAAAGATATTCCCAGGTATTGTATACGATACCGTTGGTCTGGAAGGGTTAAAGTACCTGACCAAGACAAGCTCAAGATCTGGAGATGGGTCCTCTGCTCCTGACAGCTTGACCCAGAGACACTGAAGGCTGGGTCAAATGCAGACTTTATATTTGAACAAAATTTACCTGAGTAATAGATGTATTTTATCAGCACTGCACAGAATCTTACAGTTAACCATGAAGAGAAAAGGATAGGGCCTGGGAGAGATCACTAAATTCCTCAAACATTCACCTAAAACCTCTTCAGGCATGTTTTTGATGAGGGAATAACATTATAGCATGGTAGAAAGCGCAAAGAAATACATTTTGCGCAATACTCCCTTCAATTTCTTGATAATCAGGAAGTGCACATTAGTTTGCTATTTGTTGTTTGGTTTAGCGTGAAGGAAAACTCCACTCTGGTCTTTAAAAGTTGTAAAAAGAGTTTATAAACTCATCAGGGTGACGAATTAGGATGCTCTGAATGCATAAGTGAGGAAGAACTTTGGACCATTGCAAACTAGTTCTGATTTTCACATTTTTAAGAGATTTTAACCTTAAAACTGTGATTCCGTTTCAGTCTGACCGATCCTGTGCCACTTCGAGAGACTAAAATACAACGCCCCAATTTCATGATCCCCAAGTCTGTGCTGGTGATGAATGAAGGAGGCCGGGGACTGTCTGACAAACTGAGGCGGAAAATACTAAAAATAAACAGCTTTAAACACAGAGAGGCATTTCAGGGTCACGTCAACACTAGCTCAGTGTTCGTCCATGTAAGGAAGTGGTGTCTATGTTTTGTCACAATAAAAGATAAAATAGATCAGGGGTGTCAAACTCATTTTGGTCCTGGGGCCGTATCAAACCTATTTTGATCCCAAAGGGGCCGGATCAGAAAACTCATGGCATATAAACCCCAAAAATATCAATAAGTTCAAATATTTGTACAGAGAAACGCAAATCTATTACAGAAATCTTTTTTAATTCATGAACTCTTTCTTTTACTATTATAATATTATGAAAAAACTGAAACTTTAAGAAAAATGCAATTTCAACACAATGTTTTAACATGAATTTGTGTGCAAATAGGAATAAGTAAATTTTTCTTGGAAAATCCTGCACTCTGTGTCCACTTTTCTCATTTTTGACATTTTGTTGATGAGGGTGTCACGGTCAACAGTCAAAACGATCGTCCTTTAAGAGCGTTTGGAAAGAGACAAGTCTTCATTTGTGCTGCTCTGGTGGGAGGGGCCATGCACAGAGACACTGGAGACGCTGCTGTGATAAACACCACAGAAAATTACCAATATTTTAATAGAAAATATAATAAAAATATTTTAGTAGAAAATCAGTCAAGGGCCAGATTAAAGGTCTTGGAGGGCCGGATCTGGCCCCCGGGCCGTATGTTTGACACCTGTGAGATAGATAAGTGGATAGATAGATTTTATTTGTGCTAAAAAGACTACTCAACACTGCAGAATCCTACCTGTATGACTCTTTACAGAGAAGTACACTATAGAAAATACACTATAGAGGGCGTGCTTAAGTTGGAAGTGAGAAGGGGGAAATTCAGAGAAATGGCGTCTCAAATTCAGGACAATAAAAATGACTTAAACATGCATGAATCAAACAAAAAATCGATAAAAAATAATTGTAGTCATATTTTGATTACACTTGCATTGCATCTGTGTCGTGTGTGTTTTAGAGTTTATATTGCTATACACAAAAAGTTTATAAAACAAAGAAAAGAATTTGCCATTATCATCAATAAGATCCTTCAAGTTTCAGTCACCCCATTTCAGCCTAAATTTGGTTGATAATTTCTCCACACACAGTAGAGATTACAGTTGGCAAATTTGAGTGGATTAATCAAAAAATGTATCATCGATCAGTCAAGTAATAAAATAATTATTAGTTGCAGTCCTCATCAAAAGCTCGTAACAGTCAATTTGCTTCTCTGTGATCTTGCTGCTCGTCTTGGTCAGGACTACCTCAGCTGGAGGACTGTAACTACGGTGCATGTTTTGGGTTGATGGAGGAAACCAGAGTACCCAATGGAAACCCACACACACACGGAGAACATGCAAACTCCACACAGTGCACTCTGAAAGGACAGTTTCAATTTTCCCCATACTAGTAGATCTAAACTCACTGTTCCACCCACACTCTCTATATTAGCCTGTATCTATAGGAGAGAAGGAGGGGAGGAGAAGAGGAGGAGATGCAGTACTCACCCACGGGGGAAAGTAGGCCTCTGGCTCAAAGTATTTCCCAAAGTGTTTGTTTCGTTTGAAGTTTCCAAGATCAGCCTGAAGAGCGAAGGCGGCCAACAGGAAGTACGCCTCCTCTCTCTGGATGCACTGGGACAACAGCACCTGCTTCCTCAGGTGCCAGTAATAATAATACCGAGCCACACGGTCACTACCACAGGAGAGATGAGGAGGAGAGGAGTTTAAGGAACATGAATGATAAATAAATCATTATTGCTGTGCGTCTTAAAACATGGATAACAGAACTAGTTTATTTTAAATGTTTTGCAGTGGTTCAAAGTTATTTCCCACTTACTTTATGCATTCAGTGCATCCTAAATATTTACTGCAATGAGTTGATAAGGGTTTGTTCCCACAACTTTCAACTAGCATGCTAAGCTCGCACTTTCTGAATCTCACATAATAAAATTAATTAAAAAGTTAGGATGTTCAGAATGCATAAATTTAAGTGAGGAATAACTTTGGACCCCTGGAAACAATGAAATACTTGATTTTCAAAATTTGAAGACAGTAAATATAAATAAACAAACATATTAAATCAAACCTGATGAGTCTCCCGTTCTCTACATAATACTGAGCTCTGAAGTGAATGATCATCGGAGGCCCAAACTGGTCAATGCCCTAAAAACAAAACAAAACATTAAACATCGTCAACACTTAAAATGTTTTAGCTTCAGTCCAGTTTCCATACATTTATACTGCTATAAATTCCTCACTGGCCCAATTTATCAAGACTGCACCCATATTTATGTTGTTAAAGTGCCACTAAAGAACATTTTTGGCTTTCCAAGTGAACTGATGGATGAACTGATTTAATGGATCTCATCTCATTAAAAAGGTGTAGCCCCAGTCTCACCTTACTGGCCTCCCTCTTCCATTCTTTGGGGCAGTACTTGGAGAGTTTCTGGTCCAGCTCCATGTAAACATGTTCATTATCTGTGGAGGAGAGAAAAGAGTTAAAAATGTGTGGAAAAATGTATTCATCCTTAAGGCACTGTAACATAACAGAATCATTGTCTCTTTTTTACCGAGCTAAAATAGAATTATGTAGTAAAGGTGTCAGAGATGGTGACCTGACAGGGCTGCATGATTCATCACACTCTGAATGGGCATGGCAAATCTTCTGTCTTATTCTGCATAAAAACTGTTAAGCCTGTAGTTAATATTTGTACAAACATGTCCTGAAATGTGATTCTTTTATTAGTTTGTCAGTTCAGATGTCAGTCTTTTTGTCAGTTCTTCTGGATGTGTTTAAATTTAAACTGCTAAACCATAATTTATAATTGCATAAACTGGCAATTCAAACTTTTCTGATTTCAAGCAAAGCAATAAAATCTCCATAGAGACGTGGCAGACCATACACCAGAAAAGTTACACAGTGCACCTTTAAAGGTCCTATATTACACAAAACTGACTCTTTAAACCATGTTATAATTTTGTCACCATATCAAAAACATAATTGGAGTCGTGTTTTGTTTCATTCACACATGTTTGAGTAACACTTTATTATTAGTCTGTCCATGTCTCCAAAGCGCAAAATGCTCTGTTCTACGTTGTGATGTCATGAAGTTGCAGTTTTCAAGTTATGAGCCTTCAGTGCATTATATTTCCCCGTTGTAGGGGGGCGTGTAAGAAGGCTCACAACTCTTGATGCTGTAGAGCTCCCGAGGGCAGACCCCACGTAGTAGTATTTAGTGTCATCGGCGGTGATCTCCCGCAGAGTGAATTGTGCCTCAGTCTACGCGAACCACGCTGAAGCCCACGATTCCCAGAATTCGGGGAGTTTCAGGGACACTGCGTTCGCGGTCATGTTGATCTGGATACGTCCAGCAAACAAACGTCGGGGTCACCAGTGTGGAAGTTATGCGTAGTAAAAAGGAGCCGACAACTTCTCACATTTTAGACACAAAAAATCGCGTGTGGCTTTATTAACTGCACTCACAACTCTCAAGAAAGGGCTAATAAACAGTAACGGTAAACAGAACAGCGTGCCTCAAACGTCAACAGGTCTTAAAGGGACCGCGACTATACTGCATATAGAGCACAAACCTAAAAACTAAACACTGAACATAGGTAAACATGTAATTAATATGTCTCCAGTTAGTGGTGAATTATGTATGTAAATATGTATGCTAAAGGCACTACACCATGTTATAATTTTGTCACCATATCAAAAACATAATTGTAGTCGTGTTTTGTTTCATTCACATATGTTTGAGTAACACTTTATTATTAGTCTGTCCATGTCTCCAAAGCTCAAAATGCTCTGTTCTACGTTGTGATGTCATGAAGTTGCAGTTTTCAAGTTAACAGCTCCTTTTACCTTTAGTTTAGTAGAGACTGGCAAATCCTGGGCTGAGATCATCAAATGATTCTAGTAGATGTATGGAGTTTAAAAACACAGTGGAGCACTTTCTGTATTACCACATGACATCACAAGGATTTCATTTTGAGGGAAGAACTCAGCCTAAATATGCAAGTGTGTTAAACATGTGTAAATGAAACAAAACACAACTTCTGATAACATAGATCAGAAAATAGCACAATATGAGCCCTTTAAGTATTCAAGTTTCACTGTTTCTATTATTTTTTTGTTTGTAATTCTTTGTGACTTTGCATTCGTTTTAGATTCCCCACTAGATTTTGCAGAAGAACAAGTACAGAGACTGAAATAATAACTCCACCTGAGGCTGTTCTGGACCAGACTCAGCTGCCGTTTAAGTTCCCACAGTGAAAACCCAAAGTAAACCTCTCCTATGGAACAAAACAACACTGAAGTAATCCTGACTCAACCAAACAAGTCCGACTTATGGAGTCAGCTACTTTTCCAGAACGGATCATTCCAGCTTTGTTTGGGAACTCACCAAGACAATGGAAGATCTGCTGTTAGCTTTTCAAATCCCATTCTCTGGTGATTACTGGTGTTTATAGTGCTTTGGCTGGGTGAGAGGGAAGGGGGCAGCGGGTGGGGGTGGGTGGGCGGGTGCAGAGGTGGGTAGAGTTGTTTGACCTGCAATATGGTGTCTTGAAAATAAGCCATTAAAGATTGCTCAAACATGCACGACTGGGTGACACGGAGCGGTAGTGGGTGCGGGCGGAGGGTGCTGTTTGGGTGACATGGTGCAGTGGTGCGTGGAGGCAGAGGGGTCCTGGGTGGTGGGTGCTGGTTATCGCGTGGGGGATGAGTGGGTGACACAAAACAGTGTTGGGAGCGGGAAGAGGACGGTTTGGTAGGTGCTGGTTCAGTAAAGGGGGAGTGGGTGACACAGAACAGTAGTAGGTGCGCGCAGAGGGTAGTGGGTGCTGGTTGTTGGGTGGGGTTGATTTGATAACACAGGACAATGGTAGGTGGGGGAAGAGGAAGGTTTGGTGGGTGCTGGGTGGGTGCTGGTTGGGTGGAGGGTGAGTGGGTGACACAGGACAGTAGTAGGTGGGTGCAGAGGGTGGTGGGTGCTGGTTGTTGGGGGGGATGAGTGGGTGACACAGAATAGTAGTAGGTGCATGCAGAGGGTGGTGGGTGCTGGTTGTTGGGTGGGGGATGAGTGGGTGACACAGGACAGTAGTAGGTGGGTGCAGAGGGTGGTGGGTGCTGGTTGTTGGGTGGGGGATGAGTTGGTGACACAGAGAGGTTAGTGGGTGGTGGTTGTTGTTGGGGGGATGAGTGGGTGACACAGGACAGTGGTAGGTCCATGCAGAGGGTGGTGGGTGCTGGTTGTTGGGGTGGATGAGTGGGTGACACAGGACAGTAGTAGGTGGGTGCAGAGGGTGGTGGGTGCTGGTTGTTGGGTGGGGGATGAGTGGGTGACACAGAATAGTAGTAGGTGCATGCAGAGGGTGGTGGGTGCTGGTTGTTGGGTGGGGATGAGTGGGTGACACAGAATAGTAGTAGGTGCATGCAGAGGGTGGTGGGTGCTGGTTGGGTGGGTGCTGGTTGTTGGGTGGGGAATGAGTGGGTGACACAGAGCGGTAGTGGGTGGTGGTTGTTGGGTGGGGATGAGTGGGTGACACAGAGAGGTAGTGGGTGGTGGTTGTTGGGTGGGGATGAGTGGGTGACACAGAGAGGTAGTGGGTTGTTGGGTGGGGGATGAGTGGGTGACACAGAGCGGTAGTGGGTGGTGGTTGTTGGGTGGGGGATGAGTGGGTGACACAGAGCGGTAGTGGGTGGTGGTTGTTGGGTGGGGGATGAGTGGGTGACACAGGGCGGTAGTGGGTGGTGGGTGGCCCTTGTTTGTCTTGGGGATTTCACACTGTTCACAAAAACACTCCAGGAATGTGACAGTTCAGCCGCAGTGTCTCCTGTGGGACTGACCACAGCACTGACCCTCTCTCCCTCTCTCCCTCCCTCCGACTCTTTCTCCTCTTCATTTTCCTCTCTTTTACCCACTCTCTCCATTTCTCTCCCACATATACATAACAATTTCCACATTTATATTTACTGATTCCAACATGTTTTGATGATTCTTATCTTCACAATAAACCGTCTTAACACTCTATATCTATTCAAACCTTCCCTCCAAAATGCACTGTTTTATTTACTGAAACTTAAATCTCTAAAAACAGAGGTCTCTAGCTGTCCCCGCTCCCACTGGGTCAGACCTGGTGACTCAGAGCGCACGTAAAAGCGAGAAAAGGAGTAAAGAACGTAGTAAAAACATGTTTGGACGCGCTGGACAAAGGGAGACTGTGAGAGGCCCTGGGAACAGCCCCGACACACAGGTGAGAGCCGCTGCATTCAAGGACCACTCTGTTGTAGGAAATTATACTACTGTGAAGAGCAAACTGGTATTTTTAAGAGATTCCTGGACTAGGTTTTAAAGGTTTCAGTAATAAGCTATATGTTCTACAACTTGAAGTGCATATTTGGAAATTTACAAGTATATTTTAAACTTTAAGGTATAGTATTTTACCAAGTTTTCAGTAAATACAACTAAAATGGAAAAAAACTGACAACTCTTAATTCAGTTTCTGCCTAAAATGTTGCATACTCTAGCTTTAAAGTGAACTGTGTAACTTTTCTGATAGAAGACAGATAACAGACAAGTTGAACAAGATGGCATTAAAGTTGTCCATCTCCATAGAGACAAGCAGGTGAAAACACAAAGCAGAGACAAAAGTCAGATCTGTGGAGAGGCAACACACCTCACAGTACTTGTTTCTCTAGGTATTTTTGAGCAAAATCAGAACACCAGTAATTGAATAAAAGTTTGATACTGTGGAACATTCCAGGCAAAGCAACATTTCCATAAAGGCAGCCAGGTGTTCCTAAGTAGATGTCTCAATAATCAAAATATCGTGATATCATATAGTTAAAAGTGTCACAATAATATCGTAGGCCATCACATTATATAAAATTTTATAAGTCTCTTAGCTTGAATTAATAGTTATGGTGCAGCATCAGCTAAAAAAGCAGAGAACTACATAGACCATGATCCTTTGCTCCATTTCAGCACAGACAACATGTTATTAAACACTTTTAAATCTTAGTTCTTTGGGTTATGACAGAACCAAAGGACTGTCAAGGCATTTTAAAAGGAAAAAGCAGATTCACAATTTAGTTAGTCTCCACAAAACATCGCAGAAAATACTGAATCGTGAAAATATCGTATCGAGGGATTTGGATATCGTTACATCCCATACATTAGATTATAATTTGCACTGTGAACTCAATTTTGGCTTTAAAGTTTTTGTAGTGTGGGGCATGTTTTGCGGTATCTGACTTGAAATACTTTCCGAAATTGGTCAGCCCTATAATTTACAGACATTCCTCAATGTTTTGTGGAGGTAAAAATAATCAGATGCTCTTACAAATATGTACTGAAATCACAATATTGGCCAATGCAATAATCAGCATCAGAGAATAATGCATACATTTACATAATACGCATTTGAATTTATCTTATACTTTCTTAATCAGTTTAAAGATTTTTTTTTATTTACTATTTTTGTTTTAATTACACTTAACTTATCAAAATATAGTAGAAATATTACTACAATACAAAATGGCGTTAGTGAATATTGCATCTTTTTCTTATGTTGTCCAGCCCAAGATCCCAGGTTATGCAAAATTCTTGTGAGTTTGTTAGAATGTTGTTACCTCCTCAAAAACAGACAGTCTGTTTACAAAGCTCAAAATGCTCTGTTCCACCTGCTGATGTCATGTAGTTTTAGGGTTCACAGCTTTTCCCTTTAGTTCATAGAGATTCCAGGGTTGAAATGATCCAAAGGAGTCTAGTGCAGGTGTATGGACTTTATAAACACAGTGGAGCACTTCCTGTACATGACATCACAAGTTGGAACAGAGTATTTTCAGTTTGAGAGAAGAACTCATCTTAAATATGCAGGGTTTGTGTGTTAAACATGTGTGAATGAAACAAAACACAACTCCAGTTCTGTTTCGGAGTTATGGATGAGAAAAAAAGCGTAATATGTGCCCAGATTTCCGGTTTTTCAGGATGTTCCAGACGGAGAGAACAATGTGGCGTTAAATAAAAAGTGAAGACGAGTGTGACGAGTGGACGAACAGGATCAGAAATGGTTTGTGTGAAGGGATGACTCACTCTGAATCACACTGAGCCCAAACAGGTGACAGTCCTTGAGCCGCAGGAGGTCACACACCTGAACCAACAGCTCCTGACACAACGTTTTCACCTGGAACACAAAACAACACCAAGGTTCATTTAGAAGTGAATAGAATGGGAATAATTAACAAGTAAACAATTAAAGCACAAGGTGAAAATGTAAAGAGATGGTTTAGAATATGAGTTCAAATGTCTATTGTCTATTGCAAGCTTTGGCAGTGATCGTCTGTTGGCATAGCAATTAAACAATCCAAATGAGAGTGTCAATATTTGCACTCTTTAGCTTTTTAGTGTTGGCTACCTGCTGCTTAAAGAATACATACAAATCTTTATTTTAACACATATGCAAAGAGATACATGCGCAAAACTTTGACTTCTCTTTAAAAGGTTTGGAGGAGTTTGTCGTACATTTTCACATCACGCAGATCAGGTATTTTTTACTGTCCCAAGAGTTAAAAAAAAATAATAGAAAAACACTAATAATTTAAAGATAAAGCTCCCTCTGACTGGGGCAATCTTCTCTCATCGATTCATGCATTAACTTCTGTCCTTTCATTTAAAAATGCTCTGGTTCAATATTTATATAACCCATGTCATTGTTTTTGATCATTTTGTTGTTCATCTTGTTGTATTTTGTGATTATCTTTGAACTCTGTCTTAGTTTTTTGTTCAAATTCGATTTATTATGTGTCTAACAGTCAAGTGTGAGTGTGTGTGTGTGTGTGTAAGTGTGTGTGGTTGTGTTGATTTTGTTGTTTTGATGTTTATTTGAATGTATGTAACCTACTGTCTGCCCTACTGTATCTTTCTTTTGTTGTTGGAACTATGAAGACCCCCTTGAAAACGTGGCGAGACATCTCAAGGGGCTTATCCTCCAAAACAAATAAATTCAAATTCACATTTTAATTACATAATTTGGGGAAAATAATCAAAATCTGCTTACAAAATGGCCCAAAGTTACAGGCAGATCTTATCGGCTGCTCATGTGTCTACATTGGCCATGAAAAAAGCCTTATCAGTCGATCTCTAATGCTTTTATTATATATATATATTTTTAAAGACAGAAAAGTTCAGTTTAAATGATTTTCTCAATTATATGTGTAGTGAAACCACAATATTATTTAGGCTCATGGTGTTAAATCGAGATGTTTATAATAAGTTACACATTGACCAGGTTCTCAAGGTGCTGCTGACTCACACAGCACAATGAGACAACAAGTCAAGCGAGGAGTATTGCCCGAGAGAACAAAACAACAGTATGCACTGGTCAGAACCATCAATCTCGTAAAACGACATCTCTACCATCTAAAGTACAGTGGTCATGTACCGACCACACTTTGTCGACCGTTCAAACAGACAGTAATAACAGGAAGAACAATGCTCTCTTTGTGCTTTTAATGACCTCAGATTAAACTGTGCTGTTTTCAGACGCTCTGGTCACATCAGATGCTTTCACAGAGACGTCATAGTTTCAGATGGAGGGCGCAGGTCTGTAACTCTATGGACAATTTACTGTTTTTGAAAGAAAATATCAAAATTATGATCCACGAATGTTGAAGCTTGTTATTTGTCAGAGACTCGCTCCACAAACTTCTCATGTTAATCTTAAGGCTTTAATTTATTTCCTATGAATGCAGCTGATGCCATCAGTATTTCCTGAAGGAGTGATGCAAATTGGGGCACTAATCTGTCTGAAGTTGTTCTTGTTTTTTTTCATTTTGGTATTTCTTTGTTGCAGCTCACTTTATTTGTAGTGTCAGTGGCATAAAGTAGTTTAAAAAATTATCCTTTATTTCAATATTTCTCTGTAGCAATAAATACATCATGCTTCAAAATATATTATTGTGACCTAGGCCGAGCAAGTAACTATGTAAAACGAAATATGATGTCTTAAGAATGATGAAAAGTTCTCAAACAGGAAGCAGTCACTCACATTGACGATGACGTTGAGAGTATCGTCGTTGGGCAAAAAGACACAAACACAGCGGCGGTCCTGCATGGTTTTGTTATTATGGAAGCTCAGTTTGTTCATGTTTGAGTGACACAGCCTCAGAGAATCTTCCTCCTCCTCCTCCTCCTCCAGGGGCCTGCGGCTCAGCTACAGCCCAGGACAGAGTCTGCTCCTCTGGGCACAGGTACGACGGGGGGCTGGGGGGAGGGCATCAGGACCAGGGATCAGAGCTGCTCCTGGAGAACACAACAGGACAAAAGGGAGATATAGATTAGGGAGAAATTGATGTGGTGCAATTTTAGTAGAAAATGTAATTGAAATTGCGATTTTTCTGGCAGAATCCTACTTTTTTTAAACATATATCCCAATAATAATACCACTCTGAGAAGCATTAATATTTGAGAGAAGACTGAAATATGAACTGATAAACACAAGGAGCCTATGTACAGTATTTCAGAACATGTTTGCAAGTTTAAACTTCAAGTGCAACACAACTTCAAAGTTCTATAAAAAGGCAGGTTATTTTGCTATTTGCAGAGGGCATTTTATTGTTAATAACTGCTGCCTTTGTGATTTGATAACTGCAACAACTCAAAGTGTGATTTTGTGATATATTTGTACATTATTAAGCTGCAAGATTTAACACAAGTGAAACAAAACATTGCACTTTGAATGGTCTCTAATAAATCGCACATGCAAATATTCAACACATTCAGAGTTGAAAACATTAATCGCAAAAGTTTTGGGAAAAACACAATAAAATGTTCCTTTTCAAATCAGGCCCTAATAGAATCAGATATTGTGGGGCATGTTTTGCAATATTTGACAAAATAAGAAAAGATACAGTGTGCAGGATTTGATGACCAAGATGACTCCATGACATCTCTGCACACTGTGGACTAGACAAGACCTGCTGATAATGTTACATAATATTCATGTTTGTTTAACAATTTAGGAGGAGGAACTGTGTGACAGTTCTGGAGATGGATTGGAGCTCGCAGCTGAAACATGCCAACAAAGTAAATACAGCTCGTATATTGTCTTAAATAAATAGTTGTTAATGTTGAACAGAAGTTACAATTTACAGTTTTTGGATTAGTCATGTTTGGAGGGAATGTTTTCATTTCAGATACACAATGTCCTAAAATAAAACCAGGTTAGTGTTTATTATTCTATGTGTAAAAGTAGAGGAGGGCAAATGAAGGACATGGAGCTCCAGGAAAAGCAGGGCAGTGTTCCTCTGAGCTGTCCACAAAATGTGACTTCAGAGCGGGGGAATGTCAGAACGTCCCTGGGCACATCTGTGGAGGAAGTGACGCAAACTGAGTCACAACACTGAGCTGCTCAGGTTTAGTGTGTAAAGGACAACAAGACAAGACCTACTTTTAAAGGGCCAATGTTACGCCATTTTCTGATCTATGTTATAATGTTATTTCCTCATCACAAACACACCTGGAGTTGTGTTTTGTTTCATTCACTGAACTAAAAATAAAAGTGAGCTGTTAACTTAAAAATGAGGAATAGATCATTTTGAGCTTTGGAGATGTAAACAGACTTATAATAAAGTGTTACTCAAACATGTGTGAATGAAACAAAACACATCTCCAGGTCTGTTTTTGAGGAGATGATAACATTCTGAAATGACTTAAAGCTCTTAAAAGTCATAATATGGGACCTTTAACTTACCCATTTTGAAATTATTCAATTACAGGTATATTTGTCCATGGATTACAGAATGATTGAGATTAACATTTCAAAATAAAATATTCTTCTATACATCTTTTGAATGGGAAAAGTCCTCAAAACGTTGCATAAAACAATAAGATGAAACTCATGAATTGTTCAAACACATTGCCTGGTGGTGTTACCAGCTTGTCTCCATAGTTAAATGTATACTAATCTATAGATTGAAGTATACTGTGGAACATTCCAGGCAGTGCAATAACTTCCCTAAGTGTGTTCTACTGCTGGAAACATATAAAATATATGATATGTATTGAGGTGAAGAAAATTCAATAAAGTTCAATAAGTTTGTGCGTCAACAAGTGAAAAGTTTGGACATTTCCTTCAGAAACAGTGAATCATCCACAGTTACATGAGCCCTGCCCTTCAGTGACTCTACTGTCTACTGTTGTTTGCAGGATTAAAGACCTGTCTCAGAAGAATACTGTATTTTTCAGACTATAAGTCGCTTCGAAGTGTAAGTCACACCAGCCAAAAAATGCCTAATGAAGAAAAAAACATATAAATTGTACCGGATTATAAGTTGCAATATATGGGGGAAATGTATTTTATAAAATCAGAGACCAGGAACCAACAACAGAACATAAGTTTACCAAACTCTCCATCTCACTCCAAATCACTGAATCCATTGAATCCTTCATCCTCTGTGTCACTTATGAGCAACTCCACGCAACTTCGGTTGTCACTGAAGTCTAGACTTTGTTATCCAGTGACTTCCAGGAAAGTTGCATGGCACACCCTCCCAGTTGCCATGAAGCTGTGTTCTCCATCCCCACTTTCTGACAGTCCCCACAAGTTTCTCGCTCACTCCAAACTTTCTTTCTGCTGCTTGATTACCATTTTTTGCTGCATATTTCACTACTTGCAGCAGGACAGAGGCTTTTTCTGCAGGAGACATGCACAGAAAACTGATACTCAAGCCTAGAGCCTCTCGTGGCTGTCAGTTTGAAAATTTTAATACATAAATTGCACCGGAGTATAAGTCGCAGGAAACATCCAAACCATGAAAAAAAAAGTGTGACTTATAGTCTGAAAAATACGGTAATCAATAAATGTAAACAAAAATCTCAAACCCTCCTCCCACATGTTTTCCAATCAGTCTTGTTTTAGTCTTATGGTCGTCAAAAGTATCAAAAATCAGATACGAATCAATACTAAAACTAATGAACCTTTGCTGAATAGCTTTAGAATGATCTTGAGCTGTATCAGAACAAGTATAAGAGAACATAGACTAGTATACACCTATGGTCCTACCTGGACCACTGAGGGATTACACACATAAAAGATGTTGAAAATCACATTCTATTGTCTAAATAAACAGTGTTTTTATTATCATCGTGGTATTGAAATCAGTATTGAGTATCAAGTCGACTCCTTGGTATCAAAATCAAGTTTGAAATGTTCAGTATTGTGACGACACTACTTTGTAATCGTCCTAACTGTCTCTGAGCTCCATGAGGTTGTGTGCTCCTCCCTCTGTGTCTGAGGTGGAGCTGCAGCTCAAGTGGAAAAACTGAACTCTCCTGAACTAAAGACCAAACACAGCTCTGAGAATGAGCCTTTTGTGCATTATTCAGGTCACTGTGTTCAGCTCGGGACTTTATTTACATAGAATAAGACTAACACACTTCATATGAGATCTATAACACACTGCACAGATCTACAGTTTCCATCAGTGCCTCCACTATAGAATGAAATGGGAGCTATAAAGAACTAAACTTCTTATAACATACAGGACTGTTGTATGCCACATCGACCAATCTGATCAACCCAAAACATGCACCATAGGGCAAATTCTCCAGTGAAGGTCCTGATTAAGACTAGCTCAAGGTCTAGAGATGGGTCCCGACCTCTGAACTACAGTATCTCACTGACCCAGACAGCAGGACCCAATTAGCCTGATTCATCAGCCAGTTTCACTTCGTGGAAACTGTCTGACCTCAGTAGGAGGGTACTTTTTAAGTTAACCAATTGCTAATATTTGGTTGTGTTGTCTGTAACGCACCAAATCCCGTAGGAAGAAGGGCAATAACGTCTTTCCCCTTGATAAAATTCACCAAACATTCTCTTTGTTCCGGCTTTAAATCCTCATTCTCAGGAATCGTTGCCAACACAGAATGTCTGTCTTCGTCTACATCCATCTCAACCGCTTTGTTTACTGTTGTGCTGTTAAACAAAAGGAAACCAGACAGGCGCTTGAGTTTGACGTCATGGCTTCACAGCTCTTCGCTGATTGTAGACCGCGCACCGACCAACTTCCGGGTTCTTGCAAACGATCTAGTGTATTCTGATTCCTGACCTAGTCGCTGGAGAGAAATTAAATTGAGTGGAGGCACTAGGTGGCGCCAGCCTGGCTAGGACCCAGTGGCTCTGGTTAAGAATGGGTCAAATGCACAGATTTAACCTCCCTCAGAAGAGATTCATTGTTCTTGTACTTTTCAGTTACGACACTGCAATCTTAAAATCACAAGAAAAATAAGCAAATTTCTGGACCTTGCGTTGCAACACAGATTTTTCCAATGTGAAACAAATAAACAGGTCTGCCTTATCTTATAACATGTTTTCTTGTATATCTTATTATGCAAAACTGACTCTTGTGAGCTTTAAGAAATGTTAAAATGTTGTTACCTCCTCAAAAACAGACCTGGAGTTGTGTTTTGTTTCATTCATACTTGTTTGAGTAATCCTTTATTATAATCCTTTATTATTAATCTGTCTACATCTCCAAACAGAAATTATCCAAATGATTCCAGTGAAAGTGTATGGAGTTTAAAACACAGTGGAGCACTTCCTGTATATGTATATGTCAGATACATATGTAATGTATATGACATTACAAGGTTGAACAGAGTGTTTTGTTTGAGAGAAGAAGAAGGATTTGTGTGTTAAATAAAAACTACTCCAGGTATGTTTTTGATGAGTAAATCACATTATAGCATAGATCAGAAAATAGCATAATATGGACCCTAAAAAGTACCACAGTCAATAGGCTGCAGACTGTTTATTTTGAAAAACTACACTCATATCTTTCTTTGTCCTAGCTCACCTCAGACCTCGTTCTAACTTTTAACACAGGTACAAGTTCAAACCTGCCCGTCTCCACACGAGCCTGGGGTCAGATGCAACTTCAGAGGCGTGAACCACCCCACCTGAAGACAAAAGAACAAAACAAGACATCTACAAACCCATCATCACCTCTTCCTGTCTGTAAACCTCACCTCTGCCTCATCACACACTCAGGAGGAGCACATTCCACACCACAGGGGCAAATTAGCATCAAAAAGAGGGGCTCCAAAAGGTGTCTGTGACTCCTTTGTGTACACAGAGGAGGTCTTTCACTTTAAAATGCAGCAGTAAGTGAGACAAAGTGGTCCATTTGGTAAACTAGGTGATGCTGAAAACAGAAACCTGATGAAGTAATATCCTCCTTTGAATGATTTTCTGAATTACAATATTATGGATCAAATCTGTCCATGGATGGACAAAGGAACAG